GTCTTCTGAGTCTTAGCGGTGTCCACCAGCTGGAAGCTCGTCTCGTCCTCCTCGTGGAAGTAAGCGTACTGGCTGCCGCCGCCGAACTGAGAAGAATATTTATCTGAGGATAACAGGAGAAACGCCCAACAGTATAAATATCCCGTCATCATGAAGCAGATGTTTCAGCCAGCTGTTTCACTCACTGGTGTATCTCTTGTCTTGGTACGTAGCTCCGGTCCAGTCAGCGACCTGTCAGAACCAAAACCACCCAAACACAGTAAGGAATCAAACGGATCTCGTTCATCAGACTGGGAACGTTGGGCAGAAACCAACCTTCCCCAGACGGTCTCCTTTGCTGAAAGGCTGGTAGGGCATGTCTTTGAACTTCTCTGGAACGGCGCAGGGGCCCCATCCGGACGGGTTGTCCTGGATCACAGGGGCGTGAAACTTTGCCATGACCTTAGGAGAAGACAGAGAGAACATTAAGCCGACTGTCCCTCTGCACTAATTCAGCTTTAGTTTGAGTAAAACATGGTCTCAGATAGAAGCAGCACTGTTTTCTCCAGCAATGCCCTCAGAGATGGCGAGCATTGATCAGATTGCGCAGTGGGCTAATCATCACTGACCCCAGAAAAAGATGAAGACCAATTGATGCATTTCCTCAAGTTTTATACATTTTCTATAAGCAACATTGGTTTATTAGAATAAAATTTATTCCATCCAATTCATTGATAACTTCCCTCTAGAGCACACACATCACACCTAAAGTCTGCAGGTGGAATCCGACCGCTCATGGCAAATTACCTGGTCCTTAAAGGAAAAGTTGGGTCATATTCAGAATTTAAACTTCTGAAAGTACATTAAATATGAAATTATTATTATTACATACTGTTAAAGAAATTATGTGTTTTAATTCAGAGTAATTTTCATTTGAATGAGCTTTACTGGAGGTCCATGTTTATCAAAGAACACTACTGCCACCTACTGGTTTGTGACATCACGGTATCGGCTGTTGATCAAGTCCCAGTTCTGTCATGCCTTAAGATTACACCCATAAATTTGAGTTTCCTCCATTTGTTATCCGTTGTTGTTTTGTTTGATTTTAATTACCGTTATTTAACTTTAGATTAATTAAACAAAAGACCAGTGGCAACTTTATTTTCTACTTAGCAAAAATTATAGCTTCCAACTTATTTTTTTTAAACTACAGATGAGTTTTGCGTAAATATCCAGTTACAGCAGTTTGGGTTGAAGTGGCTGCCTCTGCGGCTATAAAAAGGGCCCAGCTACAGGGAAATAAACAATGAAAAATGATGGATCGGTTTGTGAAAATTTGTTTTTAATTTTTAGTGATGTTTTAGCTAATTATTATAGACAGAAAAAAAATCCAACCAGAGTAGCTTTTATGTTTCATATTTTTACAGTTAAATAATAAAGCTGTCTCTTTAATTAGGTCAAAAGAAAGAAAATCTGTTCTTTAAATGTTTTTTTTTAAATGAAAGATATGTAAACAGTGGATAGATAGATAAAAAAACTGGATAAAATCTGAAGTTGGGTCAGAGAAATGACGGAGAGATGGAGGGCTGGGTGGATGAACTGATAGAGGATGGATGAAAGGATGAGTGAAGCACAATTGATCGGTGAAAGAAAACTTGATCAAGCCTTTTCTAACATTAAACACTGCAAAATAAAAACGTGTGTGATTCGTGCTGATACCATCTGAGGTTAACTTCAGTATCGTATATAAAATTTAAAAAAGATGATATCCCTACAGAAAGGGTTAAATCGTGTGCAGACTAATTGCCCAATAAAGTGATGGATAAATAGGGTGGAGGAAGGATTAACAGGAGGATTAAAGGATGAATCATTGACAAATATGGATGAATGGAAGCAAGCAGGGCATTTTAGTTTTTCTTATTCTACCTATTAAAAGAAAACATACATAATGCTGCTTTTCCTTTAAGCCTAAGGCGCTGTCAGCAGGAGAGTCTTAATTTTGGGCAGAATAATTGTTAAAAAATTGGTTAAATTGCTTGGGAAAAAAAAGTATAACAAATCTTTTTTTAAATGATGAGCTTATTTAAACGCTCCAGACTTTGTAGAGGTTTAATAAGAACCACAAACACAGCAATTCATTTCAATGATTGCAGCGTTTAAACCCCAATAACTGATTTTAAATCCACCTAGAAATAGGTGGATGGTGGTTAGGGCTTGGAATCCTGAGGTTGCGAGTTCAAAACCCACAGAGTGGCAGTCTGTGGGGCGCTGCACAGTGGCAGCCCAATGCTCCTCAAAGGGGAGGGGTTAGATGCAGACAGTTGATTTCTCCATTGGGAGATCAATAAAGTTTAATGTGTTCTTTTTGTTCTTTATTTTAATTGAATCAAGATCAGACCTTCTTAGAATGAGACTGAAATAAAATATTAATTTTGGTTGATTCTCCTGTTTAATATCCATCCTCATTGTTGTTCCTAAGGGACAATCTAACCGTTTTTTATCACTTTAAAAAAAAATTTTTTTACCTACTTTTATTTAATTGCTCTAATGTAGCCTTTAATGTGCTCGTACTGCAAACATGTGTCAGTTTCAACCGTATTAGTGGTAACATCCTTTAAAAAAATTTACATTTTAACACATTTTGGTCTCAGCTAAGGCGGGTCAGCATGCCAGGTGGCCCTTACTAGCAATGCTAAGCTAACTAGCATATTAACTACAGACACCTTAGGAGGATTCTCAACATTTTTAGGTCACATCATCGTAAACTGTGCATCCTTCAGAGCTTTTACTGATTTATTCAGTGTTTACCTTTAGCTGTAACCCCTTTTTCGAGAGATTAAATCCAACCGGTGCTACTACGATGTAAAAGTCGACAGCGAGCCGGTGTGAAAGGAAGTGACGAAACACGACGAAGCACAAGGCATTTCCTGCCGTAACCCAAAAGCAACTGACGTAAAAATAAAAATGCGGTATAATAATGTTTTTATTTACTTCCCACATTGCTATTGTATCTCAGGACAACATAGAAACCCCTCGCGGTAATATCAGGCACATTTTACTAATAAATCTCGTTTCAGAACAGGCAAAACTTGATGCTCCTAGTCTTTTTACACGGTGCAATTTTGTTCTGTAGCCACTAGATGGTGGTAAAGAGATATGTGTGAACACTTACAATTAGAGCAGAATAGAATAGAAAATTAATTTATTGTCCCACAATGGGGAAATTCTGCGGTTTACAGCAGCAAAAAGATTATAGAAAACATAACATAAATGTGAACTTTAGAAAAATGTATAAGAGTAACATAATAATGAAGGGTTAAAAGGTTAACAATAAAATACTGTGCTATAAAGTGTTTTAACAATTATTTCTATCCTCTTACACCCAAGTAGGTTTTATATAGTGAATCAGCAAGAACATGTTAATAATTGAACACATTGCATTTAATAACGGTAAAATATCAACTTTCTACCTTTAAAAAGCATTATGGATAAATAATAAATAATGTAATGTATCCCCTGAGAACAGTAAGGGGTCATTGTTAACACATCTTTCCCTTACCCAAGATTTTTTCTTTTTTGACCTTTTTTTTTTTAGCCAAAGAGATTTGAAGCTCAATCTGTCTAAAAAAAGATTCACAAGGATACACCAAGATTAAGCTACATATAGAGACAGTTCTGTTTGAATATCCCAGGAAATTGGCAATCCCCAACGAGTGGTGTGTTGCTGACCAAAGAGGGACGTTTGTGATGTCTGTCCAACCAATGGAAGATAAAGGATGAAGAATTCCCCTTATGATGCATTAAGGGGAATTCTTTACGAACTCTGATTCGTTGTCATAGCTGCAGGTTTTTGGGGCACAACCTTCGGGAGGAGGGGGGCATAGAGAACTAAAAAAGCTTGTCCAGAGGAGGGCAGGATAAGGAGATTTTTGGTTGTCTGCCTAATCTGAGAGGAATTTTCCTGCACAAGTGGCAAAAACATGCTCTGGGGGCTTCACTGTTAATATTCTTTACTCAAAAATTTAGAATAATATGTGTCCTTTAAAGACTTCTTACACTCGTGTCCCAGATTTAATGACCAAAACTAAGGATTTTGTATTTACTCAGGGTATTAGAGTGATGGAAATGGAGAGGTTTTTAAGTGTTGTCTCATTGGCCTGACACCAGCAAGACAAACAATCAGTAAGGTGAGGATTTATCATAGCATTTCAGTATTTACAATATGCTCCAATTGTTAAGCTATTTCTGATATGTCTATATGATGATAAATTATATATGATGAAGTTACGGCTCATGGTTTGATCTAAATGAATCCCTAAATATTTTATCTCTGTTACAATGTTTATTTTTTCCTGTTTACATAAATGTTAGGAATTTCTCTCGTTTCATTTGTCTTGGAAAAATACATCCCCACAGTTTTATATGTTTGTTAAGAATGAAGAATTGGGCTAGTTGCTTATCAATTAATAATAACAATTCAAGTCTCACTTACTTTACTCTCCTTTCACGTACCCAGATGACAGCATCATCTGCGTACATGATGATGTCTACATCTTTGCAGACAGCAGGAAGATCCTTTATATAGATGCTAAATAACAAGGTTCCCAGAAAGGACCCTCGTGGGACCTCGGCTGTACATGGCTTTAAAGAGGAAAATGCATTATTGCCCTCACATGTTGAAATCGATTAGAAATATAAAACTGCAACTGTTGTAGTGCCTTAGTAGACAATCAGGAAACGTTGGTCTGTTAGCTAGCAGCAGGCTAGCTCAATGGAATAATTGCGTTGAAAGCAAAACTGGATTGAATTTAACAATTTATTTTGCAGCTTTTTTTCCCACAGGCAGTTTTTCATATTAGCAGTTCATTTGCACATTGCTATTTGCTGCGATGGCAGGATTTTCTCTTTTGCATTGGTTTTGTGTGCTAGTAGAATTTTTATATTTGCAGTACTTTTACAGTTTGCTGCACATTCATATGGTTAAAAAAACAATCCACTGGACTTGGTTTCAAAGTTTAAAGGCGTTTCGCTTCTTATCTTTTTCAATTTAAAATATCAGAATTAGCGTTGAGTTCTAAGCTTTAAATAGTAACCCCAAAAACTTGTTTTGTCTCAGAAAACATGCAAATCTAACCAGAAGAACAGGTCCGTCCCTTAGGAATGGGGAGTCATTATGGGTTCTTTGTTAGCCTGTTATACCCAGTACTGGGCTACGCCTCTGAGCTTCCAGCCCAGCATCGGGTATTGCAATGACTATGACCTGGATGACTGAGAATCTTCACCATCATATTCATATGGGCCTAGTTGTCAAAGCAGTCTCAGATTTCTTCAGTTTTTAACCTCCTTTTAATTGCTTTCATCATCCAGGTCTGCATTCACCTCTGATTAGCTCATAGCTTTTTTATTGTATTTAATAGCATCTGTTTGAAAGTGAACCTCATTTCCTTAATAATTTAAAAGAGAATTACAAGTTCTTCTTCTCTTTCTTCCATTTGTTCTAAACAGCAGACACAAGCTTCTGCGAAATAGACACATGATTGTGGTCTGAATTCTTCTAAATGAGATTTTGTCCATGCGTTTCAAAGGTCAAAGTCTGATTGAAATACGTAATGTGTCTGAGTGTGAAGTTGAGTTTAATTGTTTCCTGCAGCACAGTTTGATTCTTGGGAGTCACTTCAGTGATTACTGATACTGCCACCTTTGAGCATCTGTCGACTGGCACGTCTTTGCATGCATTCCACACAAAGCCGAAGATTCACTCCGACCTTAAGACAGAAAGAGCTCAGGAATTAAATCTGACATTCTGCCAGATTTCAGCCGTGCTGTGAGTCTTATCAAACATGTCTGCCAGCATCCTTCAGGGATTTCTGGAGCTGCACTGAGAGCAGATGGGCAGCCTGGTCTTCATTTGATAGTCTTTATTAAGAATCAGAATGTGGATATGACTATGATCAATTACTGTGTG